TCATTCTGGGTTGAGGCCGTTCACACCGTTGTGTTTCTGATTAATCGCCAGCTCACACCTGTTCTTGATCAACGCAGTCCATATGAGGTTTTGTTTCAGCGCAAGCCCGATTATGCCTGGCTCCGTGTGTTTGGATGTATATGTTATGTGCTTCTTCCTAAACGGGAGAGACACAAGCTTGCTCCCAAGCTACCAAATGTGTTTTAGAACATTATCTTGCAGAAATTGGTAGAAATTAGAAAGCTAGAGGTGGAAAAGGTGGTAAAGGGGGTCATCCACACTCTAATCAACAGAGGGTGGGTATTGAGTTCTTCCTAACATTTTCTACTACTCCAATGAGGAGAGTGATAGAGCTACGACTTATGCAGCTATGAGTAAAATTATAGTTTGAGGATTTCCATGGATGGTGCCTGGCTACTTTAACGCATTCCTATAAATACGTTAAATTGGGAGAAACTTGCAGTTGGTTCACCTGTGATCTTGGATCCTTTAGAGGATTCTAATAATCCTGGTTTCTCTACAAGTATGGATTTATTTCGACACTAGGTACAAGCAATAGAGCTGGTTGATCATCGGGCTACCAGACCTTGGTAAACTTGGATAAACAAACCGGCTGGTAATTCCATTACTAGGAAGTTAGATCAAGCTCTAGTGAACTTTGAATGGCTCCAAAAGTATAGTGATTGTGTGGTTTAGTTTCTCCCTCCTAACTTCTCCGACTACTATGGTACCTTTGTGACTCCATTAAAGCCTACAAGATCTTCGTCCAAACCATTCCGTTTCTTTGAAATGTGGGTGGACCATCTGAGTACTTCCCTATTCTTCACAAAGCATGGAATGTTAAAGGTGTTCTCACTTGTATGGGATTTGTTATAAGCTCTAGTGAACTTAAAGAGGTTTAATAAGAACTCTTTCTCTTATACTAGTGAGAGAGTGAGACAAGAAGACGAGGATTTGAAGCAATCACAAGTGATTTCTCTCCAAGACCCAACCCTTGGCATTTTTTGAAGAAGAAAAAGGTGTGGCTCATGACTATAATGTTTTGAAGAAGGCGGAAGAAAGTTTTTACAGACACAAAGTGCATGTATCATCTAACACACACTAAACTGACGATATTTTCTCCGAGAAATGAATTAAGGATGTATTTGATGAATTACCAGCCAATGAGACCACAAAATGACTTAAAGCGATTCTAAATATTTGGGCTAAATAACACAATTTTGGGTGTTAACAACTCTCCCATACATAGTTGTTTGCTTCTCCCCCAGCAAACTTACTCAAACTAGTACAACTTGGTAAACAATCAACATGGTATGCACTATAGTTCTTCGTTGTAGTAGATAGAATAGTCGGTATCGAGTGAACGTTACTCCCATCTCACTATGAAAACATAATCTCCCTTATGAGAACCATGTCAACTAAATAGGTTTAGATATTCAAGGTGTGCACGGAGGGACTCTCAAAAGCAATAAAAACAATGGACTCCTTGTAGGTGCTCTTCATTCTTTCTTTTCAACCTAAGAGTCAACTTTTGAATATCTTTTTCAAAAATTGCCCAACTTGGCACCATTCATTTGCAATTTTGCAAATAGGCATCTCTCCCTCGTGACCAAGAGCGAAATGACATTGCCTTCCCATTATCAGCCCCGGGTGGGGAACATGATGGTCGGGTTCATTGCTCGAGCACCACTTCCCAACCTACACTCCCCATCTTAACAAAAAACGAGTTGCCACACATGTCGGGTATAAACGAGAGTTGAGGTCTTATGATTCACTAAAAGGCACACTATCTCTTACCATACGAGTCTGTGATGAGGATAGGTGTTTGGGGGGGGGGGGGGGGGGGGGTTGAAGGTAGTGAAAGATGATCGGGACTAGAAAGCTATCCGAACCTGTGATATGAAGAACCCCATACACCAACGCCAACGACACATACTCCAGTCGGTTATCTTCCGCAATACCCCCGTTAAGGAATAAGAAAATGCTATCGTGTTTCATTCGAATCTCGATGAACGACTCAATCAATGAGCGACCCAGATTGGCACACACTCCAGTGGGATTGAGATTGATTTTAGGGTGTAATTCGGTATTCGTGATTTCGTTATTTGGTATTGGATTGACACATACTCCAGTGGAATTGTGATTGATTTTAGGATGTAATTCGGTTTTCGAGATTTCATTATTTGGTATTGGAATACCGATATCGTATTGATTTCCACCCCTAAGTATGATCCTCTAATTGGTACCAAGTTGTGAAAAGCAGTGAGTTGTCGGTTGGCATCAATACAATCAACTAGGTGTGTGCATAGGTCTGGTAGTCCGGGTTTAGCCATTTTAATCACCCGACCCATGCACTACGGTTCGGGAAATATTAAACCCAAACCCACAAAAAAAAATTAAAACCCTATGGTTTGTTTCTACTTGGGTTGGGTTGGGTTGATGATATATTTAAGTAAAAATCCAACCAAAAAAATATGTAATTATTCTACACCATAAAAATATTTTATAACTAATTAAAATTTCATAAGAATAAACCAAGCTGAAAGGTATCAAAATTACAAAATGTTGTTTGAATTTAATAAAATGTGATTTAAATCTATGTCTAAACTTTAAGCCAAAGAGTGCATTAGATTAGGGAGAGCATGAGAGAAAAAGATGACGAGATATCTTAATTTTATAATAAGTATGGCTATATAGGACATAAATATTTATTGGATACGAACTCATAGGCTAAATTACACGTTTGATCACTCGAATTATACAAATCTTTCACGTTTGCCACCCGAATTACTTTTCTTTCTTATTCGCCACTAACTTTACGAATCGTTTCACCATTAGTCACCGGCCGTTACACTCTGTTAAATTTGTCCTATGTAGGGGTGGGCAACGGGAAACGGGTATTTGGGTATACCCGTACCTGTCCCGTTTTTTAAGGGTTACGGGTACCCATATTACCCGTAATATTATAAACGGATGGGACTTGGGATTGTACATTCCTAATATGGGTACCCGCGGGTTACCCGCAAATACCCGTTTGGGTAATGTGGGTACCCGTTTTACCCATTTACGAACTCTAATCCATAGAAAGGGAATGTCCACTTCGCCACAAAGATGAAACTTTTCTTAGTAAAGAAACAAAGAACGCTATGTGAACATAATACTTGTAGTCTGCACTCTGCAGTGACATGCAACCTAAACTCATCCCTGTCCAAGAAGTACCATAGATTATTTTCATAGTTCAAAGTAGTCATCAATCGCTAAAGGAACCTCAGCGGTGTATGATTCCTTAACATTGAAATTATCAGTTACATTTTTCCTTCTACCCTGCTGAGTGCTGACAATAGTTGAATGCATGCAGGTTACCCTGTATACCACTCAATGTATGATGACTTTGTCTGGATGGAGAAGTTTGGTGACCCTAATTTTCGCAGGCACGTCGTTGTGATTGTTCATGATTTGTGTTGAATGAAACTTCTTATTTGATAATTTGGTGCTTAGAATGATATATTTCTATGCGTTGTGATTGTTCATGATTTGTGTCTTGTGATTGTTAAGCAAGTACAAGTTAAGTTTAAACTTTTGTTAAAATTTGAGTGGTTTAAACTTTGGGTATTTATGGGTAGTATGGGTACCCGTTATCCGTCCCGTACGGGTAATGGGTACCCATTTCCCATATGAGTTTGGGATATGGGATGGACTTTGGTCTCCAAATGGAACTGGGTACCCGTTTAAAAAGGGACGGGTATCCCGTCCCGTCCCGTTGCCCACCCCTAGTCCTATGTGGCAGTCAGCTATAAAGTTTGACCATTAACTAGATGACGTGGAAATTAAAAATAAAAAATAAAAAACAAATTTAGTTTTCCACCTCATCATCCCCTTACTCTGTCTGTATTATCATATTAATTATTTAATAAAATTAAATAAATAAGAAAAATTAATTTAGTGGCGATTTGCTGGAGCAGGATGGGAGCGGATTTGTTACAGTGGCCGGTGGAGGAGATTGAGAGCTTGAGGCGGGGAGGGATTTTGAACATGTTCAAACACCGTCGGAGACGAGATTTCAATCCTCCCGACAAGCAGTATTACACCCCGCTCTTCCCAAAAGTCAAAATGACTATTATACCCCTGGGTCAAGTTCCGTTGTATCATCGATAGGACTAAAAGTGTGAACTATCGGTTCAAGCAGTGTCGAATTTCGATATAAATCGAGTAAGCTACGAACTTTAGTTGAGTTTCGGATTAAAACCCAACCCCAACCCTAATCTTTCGTTCCACTCGGCGACACCAACTTCACTTCGATCCTAATTATCATGTCAGTCAGAAGTTGTCTCAAAAACCTCAACACCATCCAAAAACGTACTCGACTCCCGCTCCTTCATCAAGAGCCCTATCGAGAACTCCCGTTGTCCATCGCCAAAACCTTCGACCCATTCTATTCTTCTCCGCCTTTCCCCGCCGCCGCTCTCTCCGGTCTCAGTCCTTTCATTCGCTCTAGGAGAAAGCTCGAAGTTTTTTTGGTACTTCTCTGTAACTAAATGCTTCTTCACCAAGTTCCCGAGAGACCGCTGAAACACCTGAAGGTTCTCGCAAATCTCCTGCAGAACGTATTGATTCAACCTTTCGAAAGTGGTCTAAGGCAGCCTCTTCCAATTCCAAGTCCTAATTCAGATCAATCTACTTACTTTTACCAGAACCAGAAAATACCACAGAATCCCCCCTTCTCTCTCCCGATTTCGATTTCGATTTCTCCCTCCTAATTTCAGCTTCTTCTCTTTGTTTCATTTTCTCGACGGCAGCTTGGGGTCTCTCGCCGCCGTCGTTTTTTTCACGCCTCCGATCCTCCTTTTCGTCTTTCTAGGTGAGAGGGTTGTTGCTTCTGGAATCCTGATCTCTACCTAGTTGAGATTTGGTCATTGTGGATTACTCGAGCTTAGGTGGAATCAGAGATTCAGAGAGAGAGAGAGAGAGTTGGGTTGAAGAGAGGGAAAGACGATGAGAAGATGATGGGGCCATTATTCCCGAGGCTCCATGTGAATGATACAGAGAAAGGGGAGCCGAGAGCGCCTCCAAGGAACAAGATGGCCCTTTATGAGCAGCTAAGCATTCCATCTCAAAGGTTTAATTTTGGGGTTTTGCCTCGTAATCCAAGTAACTTGGCTCCTGCCGGGTCTTCCAGCCAGGCGAGTAGGCTTAAAAGGACTTTATCCTCGCCACCAACTCTAGCCGATCAACTGCCTTCTTTCCAGCCCAGTGCTGGAACTTGAACAGTTCTTTGGCGCCACGTGAGCAGAGGAAGAAGGCCGGAGACGAAGATGTTTTCACTGTTCCAGTATTTGTACATACAGGTGCCTCCAAGTTGCAGAGAAAACGTTCTAATGTGGAAGAGCTGGCTCCATTTAGCTCGATGCATTCATGTCATTCCAACAAAGCTCAGAATACTGGCTATATTGATACCCAGGGTGCGTCATCCATTGATCCCCATTCAAGACATGGAGGAAATCCATGCATATCAAGTGATAATTTGAATACTAGAGAAAATTTCGCCGAGTCTGGGGAGGAAGCAATTGTACACCCGAAAAAACGTTCTCTTGGTAATCAACAATAGCCTGCATGGTTGCAGTCAAATGTATGTGCACTTGGTGATGCTGTTCCTGAGACACGGCGAAGAGGAACAGAGAAAAATGATGTCCTTGTGCGAAAGGATAGCTTGGGTTCTTGTGAAGAGCCATGTACACCCAATGAGGGCAGTGGCACCTGTGTTACCAAGGTGGACGTGTCAATACCAGTGAGAAATACTGATAAAGGGGATTCATGAAAGAAGGAATATTGTTTGAGTACCTGCATGATTCTCTCGACCCAAGCTCTCTTGTCATTGTTCTGGAAGCCGATAGCCTGTACTGTGAGGGGGATTGAGGTATCGGTAGAGAAGGAAGAGGTTGTAGCTGAATAAGATAGCCAACGCAAGAAGGACGAGTAGTAAATCCAGCTCTTCCTTATGGAAATCCAATGAGAAGTAGCGGCGACGTTGATCCACCCTTAACAATGGCTGAGGTTCATCATCGGACTACTGAGGTGAGTGTAAAGGGGGGTAAATTCTACGCCTTACGTATTTTTTTCAAGTATCTGCCTTGCGTGTTTAAGAAGTTGTTTTATGTGAAATTGTGTGCTTGCTTATGATTATGGTTGATGATGTGTGCCTTGTTTGACTTATGACTTGAAGTGAATGGTTATTATTTACCTTGAAAATTTTATGAGTATAAGTTATTGTTAAAGTTTAAGAAACAGGTCTTTTTAAGAAGTAACTCACCTTCAAGAAGGTGGAGTCGTTTTAAGTGTTTTTAGTCACTAGCGCCAGTCCGTTGCCATTTGAGATTTTCAGATAAAGCAGCAAATATGCTCTTGAGATCTTTGAGACAGAGCAGCAGTTATGCTCTTGAGACTTTTAAGATGAGCAGCAGTTATGCTCTTGAGAATCGTGGTGAAGAGCCACCACGATAAGTTTAAGATGTTAGGGGGATGAATCGTTACGACTTCCCTAACTAAGTTTAAGTTTAAGGAAAGCCTGGATGGCTTCTCATGCGTATGAGTTGGGCAACCGGACTAGCTAGTGAGGGATCCCCGTGTCAATCAAGTATTTAAGTCAAGCTTTGAGATTTAAGAACGGAGTAACAGTAACTCCCATACAGTTTTAAGAGTTAAGCTTTTTAATAGTGGAAGTACAAAACAACTTCCAACCAGTTAAGTAAAGTGATCAAGTATTAATAAGATGTCAATCGTAAGGGCGTAGACTGACCCCATCTCACTCACCAGTTTGAAGAGGAAGAAGCTAGATGAGCAGCGGGATCGAGAGAAACAGTTCGAGTGAAGCTAGCTAGATGAGGACGGTACGAACGTCACAGAGGATGCTTAGTCAAGGTTTCAGTAGCAACAACATTAGGGATTATTAGTTATTTACATTTATGATTATGAGTATAGACTGGAGATCAGATTGAGATTTTAAAGTTTGAGTTTAAATTTCCCACATGTTAGGGCTTTGCTCTGAGCTACAAGTATGTGTTTTCAGTATTTTATTTATGAAAATTTCCCCGCTGCAATTTAAGATTTGAGCATTTTATTTATCAATGGCATTTTAGTAAAAGTAGTAACCGGCCGGGTTAGGGTGTTTCATTTTGGTATCAGAGCCAGTCTTCCTCTGTTCCTTGGTCTCCAAGGAATACTGGAATATCAGTCTCAGTTTTTAAAGGTTATGTTTTAAAGGAAAGGAAAATGAGTCAAGTGTCTTCTTTTAAGAGTCTATAGAATCTCCAGTCTACTCTAATCGTATTAAGGTAAATAACTAGAGTTCTAATAGAAGAGGTTCCAGTCGTAAGGGGATACCTCTAGGATTTTGAAGGAGTTGAGAGAGTAGTACGAGGATTTTACTACTAGGGAACAAGTGGATGACCTAATAAGCTAAGACAAACAAAGGGGAGAACATGAATCTCCAAAGGAAGAGGAACAATCACCAGATGCTAGTAGCTATGATACTAGGATGATGTTAGGGTCTTTGGTCCTAAGCAGTGGAAACTGGGCAACAGGTCAAGAAACAAAGAGGTACCCCGAGAAGTCGCTCAACTAGTTTTATTGGTCAACGCCATTACCACACAGTGACAAGGAGTAGAGAAATGCTTAGACTTTAGGAAGTGCTGGGATAGTATAAAGTAAGCGAAGGAGGAAATAAGTAGGTTATAAGGAGTATGAAAGGACGTCAAGAAGTCAATAAGTCAAGGCGAAGATGGGGCATGGTCATTTACATATGACGATGAAGAAACCCTTGTAGATAAACTACGTCATCTAGAAGATGGTACATGACCCTGGGGAGTTAGGCCGGTATCAAGCTTTTGAAAGGAACAACACAAGAGTCAAGATGATCGAGGTAGAGGAAGAGATTGGATAAAAAATAACAATGTGCTAGTGAACAATGTTAAGCTAGAAAGAGGATGGATTGAAATATGAGAGACTCTACAAACTACCCAGATCATGAAAGGTTTGGAGGTCGTTGGGACCGTTGAAAGGGGAATGCAAGAGTTCATGATGATTTGTTATGGGATTGTCCTCTCTTAAATAGAGGGAACACCTAGCCTCCTAGGGTACATGAGGGGTGACAGAAGGAGGAACCTCTCTACTAAGTTTGAACTAGAGGGCTAAGAGATGAAGTCTCGAAACTAGCTATAGGAGTAAGTCATTAAGTCAACCGAGTATAGACAAGTAAGTGGAACATTCAATAAATGTTCTAGTGAATGGCAGGGAATTCGAGGAAGAGTCTAAACGATCGTAATGAAGAGAATTTGCGAACAATACCAAGGAAGAGCAAAAAGGCCAGAGGGAGTGAGTCATTAAGTCAACCGAGTATAGACAAGTAAGTGGAACATTCAATAAATGTTCTAGTGAATGGCAGGGAATTCGAGGAAGAGTCTAAACGATCGTAATGAAGAGAGTTTGCGAACAATACCAAGGAAGAGCAAAAAGGCCAGAGGGAGTTTGACGAGATTTCAAGAAGTCAATGGGTCAAGTCTCAGGTGACTCGAGGTCAAGAAGCTGCACAAAGAGGTATGATGAAGAAAATCATTACCAAAAAGGAGGAAATCATTAAGTTACCTTACGCAAGGTGCCCCACTCTGAGCGAGTACGACATATTAGGATGTCATCCATAAAAGAAGGCCAGTTAAGGATAAATTAGTGATATTTAGTTAAGCCACTAAGAGCCATGACTAAGAGATTAAGGCTATGTACAAGCATCGATCGAGACAAAAGACGTTGATGAGGTATGTTCAAGCCTACCAAGGGCAAGCCACTATTGGAAGCTTTGACCCAAAACAACAACGAGAAGATACTCAACAGAGTTTGGTGACCGAAAATAGTACAAAGTATCAACAGAAGGGTAGTAAAAATAAAGAAGCAAGGAGAGCACCATAGAACGCTGTAGGAGATAAAATAAAAAAAAGGTGGTTGTCGACCGAACAATGAATGCGTGAAGGAAGATAGTTGGGAGGTGGTCAAGCACCATCGTGAGTAGAAGTCGTGGGCGTCATCTGTCAAGTCTACCTAGAGAAAGTTTCTAGTGGAAATGTTGGCTCTGAGGTATGGCGAGTAGCTACTAGACTGAGTAGATCAAAGCTAGTACCAAGCATCGATGAAGGAGTTGTGGAAGTAAGGAGGAAACCACAAGCTATAATGAAAGTTATGGGGAAAGGTTGGTAGTTGATAAAAAGACAAATTCAGGAAGAAAGATAGTTAGGAAGAGCCGGCGAAAGAATACGAAGGTCAACAAGGAGGCGTTAAGGTGATTGCCAGTGGAGAATAAGTTGGACCATAGGAAGCCCATCAAGAACGGAGAAACTCAATGGTCAACTTTAAAGTAGAAGTGGGGTGGTCCAGAACGGTCGAAGGGAAAACCTTATCGGTCAAGGTACATAAGCGAGAAGAGAATATGAGAACCTAGATGACTATCTCAAGAATAAAGGACTTCATCTAGAACTAGCGAGTAATATCAAGAAGAAGAGTCACGAGTAAGGAAGTAAGAGGGATATAAGTTTAGTGAACCTGCTAGAATACCCAAAAGTGAACCAAGATTGCCTATGTTGGTGAAAGGTGTCAATCTCTCGGGTAAAACTCTATTGGACGGGAAAACCGTATGAGTAATTTCAGCTAGAGTCTAAGAGTAGTAGAATGGATAGTACGAGAACTTCAAATAAAGGTGGCGATAAGTAAGTGCTAAGTTAGGCGCCAGGAGTGAACGAGTAAGCCAGAGAGAATGCCATGATTCTTGAAAGGAATCATAAAGGTGATCGCAAGCTAGAGAAAGATGCAAAGGATGCCTCTAATGCATACAGGAGGTAAAAGCTGTAATATGAGGTTTCAGAGTTAAGCAATAAGTAACGAGGAGATGACCATTCAGCTTATGGTTAAGGGATAAGGCGAGGCATTGAGGAAGAAAGTAAGAGATGCAGAGTTAGGAGATACAAGGACCTAGGTGACCTATGAGGTCAACTCCGGACGAGAGTTACGTTAAAAGAATTTTACCATCCGATGGGATAAAGGATAAGCCGCCATATGTAACCCTGGGGTTCAAGAGGAGCATTAATGTCTCGTATACCAAACAATGGATAGTTATCGTTCCTATATATGTACAAGGTGTAGCCGAGGTAATGTGAGGGGTTAAGAAGCCACAACAACATTGAAGTTGCAATGAATGGAGAGAAGGATTTTAGGTCATGTCGTATAAGTTAAAAGGGAATAAAAATCCGCGACGTGAAAGGGATTACCACAAGCGATGCTTAGGGTAATCACAATGGACAAATTTCGAGGGAGAAATTTCTATAAGTGGGGAGGAAATGTGATACCTAGACTTCGATAGGTTCAACATCAAGTACTGGGCCCAAGTTGGAAATTTTGAAAAGGGCAATGAGTCACTCAAACCTATTCGATGCTACCAAGCTAGATGAGAATATATGTTATGGCCAAGAGTACATATAAGAACTATCGTAAGCGTTTCAAGACAAGGTAAGGGCACGCCGTTGAAGTTCATATAGAAAGAGTGAAATCTTGAGCCAAAGAAGCACGCGAATGAGGAGTATGAAAGGATGAGCCCGATCAAATTTCGGGGACGAAATTATTATAACGGGGGAGGAAATGTTACACCCCGCTCTTCCCAAAATTCAAAATGACTATTATACCCCTGGGTCAAGTTCCGCCGTATCATCGATAGGACTAAAAGTGTGAACTATCGGTTCAAGCAGTGTCGAATTTCGACAAAAATCGAGTAAGCTACGAACTTTAGTTGAGTTTCGGATTAAAACCCAACCCCAACCCTAATCTCTCGTTCCACTCGGCGACACCAACTTCACTTCGATCCTAATTATCATGTCAATCAGAAGCTGTCTTAAAAACCTCAACACCGTCAAAAAAGTACTCGACTCCCGCTCCTTCATCAAGAGCCCTATCGAGAACTCCCGCTGTCCATCGCCAAAACCTTCGACCCATTCTATTCTTCTCCGCCTTCCCCCGCCGCCGCTATCTCCGATCGCAGTCCTTCCATTCGCTCTAGGAGAAAGCTCGTAGTTTTTTTGGTGCTTCTCTGTAACTAAATGCTTCTTCACCAAGTTCTCAAGAGACCGCTGAAACACCCGAAGGTTCTCGCAAATTTCCTGCCGAACGTATTGATTCAACCTTCCGAAAGTGGTCTACGGCAGCCTCTTCCAATTCCAAGTCCTAATTCAGATCAATCTGCTTACTTTTACCAGAACCAGAAAATACCGCAGAATCCCCCCTTCTCTCTCCCGATTTCGATTTCGATTTCTCCCTCCTAATTTCAGCTTCTTCTCTTTGTTTCATTTTCTCGCCGGCAGCTTGGGGTCTCTCGCCACCGTCGTTTTTTTCAAGCCTCCGATCCTCCTTTTCGTCTTTCTAGGTGAGAGGGTTGTTGCTTCTGGAATCCTGATCTCTACCCAGTTGAGATTTGGTCATTGTGGATTACTCGAGCTTAGGTGGAATCAGAGAGTCAGAGAGAGAGAGAGAGAGAGAGAGAGAGAGAGAGAGAGAGAGAAAGAGAGAGTTGGGTTGAAGAGAGGGAAAGACGATGAAAAGATGATGGGGCCATTATTCCCGACGCTCCATGTGAGAAATACTGATAAAGGGGATTGAGGTATCGTTAGAGAAGGAAGAGGTTGTAGCTGAATAAGATAGCCAACGCAAGAAGGACGAGTAGTAAATCCAGCTCTTCCTTATGGAAATCCAATGAGAAGTAGCGGCGACGTTGATCCACCCTTAACAATGGCTGAGGTTCATCATCGGACTACTGAGGTGAGTGTAAAGGGGGGTAAATTCTACGCCTTACGTATTTTTTTCAAGTATCTGCCTTGCGTGTTTAAGAAGTTGTTTTATGTGAAATTGTGTGCTTGTTTATGATTATGGTTGATGATGTGTGCCTTGTTTGACTTATGACTTGAAGTGAATGGTTATTATTTACCTTGAAAATTTTATGAGTATAAGTTATTGTTAAAGTTTAAGAAACAAGGTCTTTTTAAGAAGTAACTCACCTTCAAGAAGGTGAAGTCGTTTTAAGTGTTTTTAGTCACTAGCGCCAGTCCGTTGCCATTTGAGATTTTCAGATAGAGCAGCAGTTATGCTCTTGAGACTTTTAAGATGAGCAGCAGTTATGCTCTTGAGAATCGTGGTGAAGAGCCACCACGATAAGTTTAAGATGTTAGGGGGATGAATCGTTACGACTTCCCTATCTAAGTTTAAGTTTAAGGAAAGCCTGGATGGCTTCTCATACGTATGAGTTGGGCAACCGGACTAGCTAGTGAGGGATCCCCGTGTCAGTCAAGTATTTAAGTCAAGCTTTGAGATTTAAGAACGGAGTAACAGTAACTCCCATACAGTTTTAAGAGTTAAGCTTTTTAATAGTGGAAGTACAAAACAACTTCCACCCAGTTAAGTAAAGTGATCAAGTATTAATAAGATGTCAATCGTAAGGGCGTAGACTGACCCCATCTCACTCACCAGTTTGAAGAGGAAGAAGCTAGAGGAGCAGTTAGAGAGCAGCGGGATCGAGAGAAACAGTTCGAGTGAAGCTAGCTAGAGGAGGACGGTATGAACGTCACAGAGGATGCTTAGTCAAGGTTTCAGTAGCAACAACATTAGGGATTATTAGTTATTTACATTTATGATTATGAGTGTAGACTGGAGATCAGATTGAGATTTTAAAGTTTGAGTTTAAATTGCCCACGTGTTAGGGCTTTGCTCTGAGCTACAAGTGTGTGTTTTCAGTATTTTATTTATGAAAATTTCCCCTGCTTCAATTTAAGATTTGAGCATTTAATTTATCAAGGACATTTTAGTAAAAGTAGTAGCCGGCCGGGTTAGGGTGTTTCAAGCAGAACCCAGAACAATTAGAAAATTTTAGTTCTGAAGGATTCCGACCTTCTTCCTCCTTCTCCTCCTCGGCGGCGACGAACATTCTTCATATTTTTCCTCAAGCTCGACCGCAGCAGAGATTGCGGCGATGGACGGATCAGAACCCGACAAAAGTATAAGATGTTTGCGTGCGGCGGAGGACGAGTTGAGTGGGCGGCTCAATTCCTTCTTCCTCCTAAGGCTGGGCGTTGGTGCATGATGGATTGGTCGACAGTGGGTGATTGAGAGCAGTGATTTGCGGCGGCTGTGAAGTTGGGGGAAGGGGAGGGTAGTACGATGGGGATGAGTGGGTTTTCATTGTTAGGGGCAAGGGGTTAAAAATGTCTTTTTAGTAGGGTTTAGGGTGAATGATGAGGTGCAATTTTTTTTTTAATTTTCACGTCATCAAGTTAACGGTCAAACTTATATTTGACTACCACATAGGACAAATTTAACGGAATGTAACGGAGTGTAACGGCTGGTGACTAACGGTGAAATGATTCGTAAAGTTAGTGGCGAATAAGAAAGAAAAGTAATTCGGTTGGCAAACATGAAAGATTTATATAATTCGAGTGACCAAACCTTGTAATATAATCCGAACTCATACCAATAGTTGGAACGGAACACAAGTTGGATCGGTCGATATCTACGGTTTGTGTAATGCAAGGGGACGTAAAACTCTCGTAAACGGAAATTCACCGAATTCCGTGTCCTCCGTCATTTTTTCTTTCATCCCTTTCCCCCCTTTGGGCCTTTACCTTCGTCTCACCATCGTCTAGTCTTGTTCTCGTCAGCTCCAAGGAAAGGGGTGACATTCGAATTTCGAAACTCCTACGCGACCAGAGACCCTTCTGCCGGAAGTCCGCCTCCGGCAGGGAGAGAGAGGGTGCCTCTTCCGATTCCTACCCGGTCCATTCCATGATTGCCCTCTCACTCTCCTCCTCCGCCGCCTCCACGTCTACCTCCTCCATCGCTCGTGTTACAATCTTCTCTTCCAATTCTTCAACGCCTCCGCATTGTCGTATGTTTACCCGATTCTCCATTTCCCTGTCGCCGTTCCCCTCTGATGCGATCATTGCGGCTACGCAATCGGGTCGCTTCTAAGTCTGTTGACAGCGATACTACCCACAACGGAATGGATCCCGTCAAGTTCCAACAGCGAGTGGGACCAGCTGCGTCTCGTTCCGCCCCCAACTTCGCCTATTACCCGATTTCGCGACCCTCCAAGCGATCCAAGTCCAATATCATCGTTTTCGGGTTTGTCCTCATCCTGATCGCTTTAATCTCGTGTTATTACCTGTTCCGCACCGGTAAAGTTGTGGATTGGAATAAAAAGTACGGGATTGTTATCGACGGCGGCAGCACCGGGACGCGGCTCCACGTGTTCGCTTACAGGGTTCAGGGCGGGAAGACGGTGTTCGATTTTGGGGAGGAGGCGGCGATGAGGGTTAGCCCCGGATTGTCGGCGTATGCCGAGGATCCGGAATCCGCTGGTTCATCTCTTAATGAGCTGCTTGAGTTTGGGAAGGAGAGAGTGCCGAGGGGGCTATGGGGTGATACAAAAATTCGGTTGATGGCTACCGCTGGGATGAGGTTGCTGGACTTTGATGTGCAACACAGGATTCTAGAATCGTGTAGAAGGGTTCTGAGGCAATCTAGGTTCGTGTTTAAGGATGAATGGGCGTCTGTTATTAATGGTAAGTTGCCTGGTGGTGATGGCTTTGTCTTCTGAGTCTCAAATTTGTGCCTAAAGGTTTGAGATTTAATGGTGGGTGCCTTGGTTGTTCTTTTTCTTGGCAAGGTTCTGATGAGGGTGTTTATGCTTGGATTGTTGCCAACTACGCTTCCGGTACTCTTGGAGCTGACCCTCTCAAGACAACTGGTATAATTGAGCTTGGTGGAGCTTCTGCTCAGGCATGGTTCCTATTCTTAATTTTTTCACTTTACAGTTTTGCTCGCTTTGTACCCTGGATCATTCTTTTAAATTCTGGTTTGGTGAGAGACTTCACAGTTCAGATATTACCGAACTGAATTGTGTCAATGGTTTGGTACTAGCTTCGACGTGGTATTAACGAAAAATGTAAACAGCTATTAACACTTCTAGGGTGGCAGTTTAGTTTAGTTGCTAATCAGACTGTCTTATAACTAGATGTACTAATGGTGACATGTAAGAGAGAAATTTGGTGAAAAATATCATCGCGAATTTTAAATGCATTAATTTGTTGTAGTGGTAGGTATAGAGTTGACAGTATGCTTTGCAATTCTAATGCTTTGGAGAAGAAATATGAAGTGATGTGTGGAATTGGTGGTACAGATAACTTTTGTTTCAAATGAGCCGTTGCCTCCTGAGTTCTCCCGGACTGTCAAGTTTGGGAATGTAATATATAACATCTACAGCCACAGCTTTCTTCAGTTTGGTCAGGTAATTTGTCATATTTTATTTATTCCTCCATTTTTCCTTTTTCTGCTGTGTCCCAAAATGGTGCTTTTGATTAAAAAAGAAAGGTCCAATTCCCTTTCTTTGAACTATCATCGTCGATTGTTTTCTTGAGCATTCACATGTGGCTTAAAGCTTATAAATTTCCATCTACCAGAATGCTGCATTTGATGCATTGAGGGAATTGCTAGTGTCACCAGACCATCAATCATGTAAGGATGAAGCTTTCTTTTTCCCGTGCTGTGCATGGCTAAAGCATGTTGAAATTTGTGTTGGTATGACGCTATTAGTGATGCCAGGGAATCATTCTTTCGTTCACAGTATAAGTTGTCTACCAGGGAGCCAAAGCTGCAGCATGTTCGAATGGTGGTTCTTCTGTTTTGGACGGCTACATATGAATCATTCTCTTCTTTTATGCTATTTATGATTTAACACTTCTAAGTTTATAGAAATCTGATACCCATCCTAACAAATACAGCTGCTGAGTTGGTTGAAAAGGGAGGAGTAAATTTGGATCCTTGTACTCCCATGGGGTATTCACATGTTATGGCTGCGGAAAGTTCCTCATCAGGTTCTTTCTTTGAAGAGAAGGATAGTCTTCTGTCAAACCTTCAGCCTGGGGGTAACTTTTCTGAGTGCAGATCTGCTGCATTAACACTTTTACAGAAAGGAAAAGGTAATTGCGCTATCTCACAGACTTTCCTATAACAGTTTCTCTTACATCTTTGTGATATTGAATTTATGTGTAACTTGTTTTGTCTGATCAACTCATTATTATTTTGGACATAGATAAATGTGCCTACCAACACTGCTCTATAGGACCAACATTCATACCGAAGCTTCAGGGGAAGTTTTTGGCAACGGAGAATTTCTTCTATACATCTAAGGTTGGTTGTTCCTCTCTTTTTGATAAAAAATACCTATTTGATACTCCCTTAGCTCCCTCTAATAGACGGTTGAGCATTCTCTGACTTCAGGTTATAATCACCTTCATGACAAATCTATGTGTTGATTGTTGGTAACTGTTTTGGCTCTTCAGTTCTTTGGGTTGAGTCCAAAAGCTTTTCTCTCTGATCTTATGGGAGCTGGAAAACAATTTTGTGGGGAGGATTGGTCAAGTTTGAGAAGGAAGCATAGATCATTATCTCTCAAAGATGATGAACTTATGCGCTATTGCTTCTCTTCTGCGTATATTGTTGCCCTACTTCACGACAGCCTTGGGATATCTTTGGATGATGAACGGTAAAGTTTACCATCTAGCCATTCTAGTTCTTTGTGGGATACAATTATGCAGGTCCTGTTCCTTTGAATGGCCTTAATTCATAAATCTCTAAATGGGCTTGTATCAGGATTGGGTACGGCAATCATGTTGGGAATATCCCTCTTGATTGGGCACTCGGAGCTTTCATCTTGCTGACCAGTTCTTCACAGGATATGCAACACCCTAGCTGGATCTCCACTGTTATCGGTGATGATTCACCCACATTATTATGGTTAGTTGCCATTGCCGCATTGTTCATGTTTGCAGTGTGGTCAGTGTCGAAATGGAGGAAGCCTCAATTAAAGACGATTTATGATCTAGAGAAAGGACGATATATAGTTACACGTGTGCGAAGAAGTTGATAGCATTTTTCGGATGTGATACCTGCAGTATTATTCTTAAACCTACACAGATCGAAGGGGGAGGTGTCTATCATTTAGCTGTTTTGGAGATCCATTGCTTCCCTTGAGTTAGGTGAGGTCAGATAGACAAAGCATTCATATGATTCTTCCATTCGAGAGTGCTAGGTGAAGAAGATAGTGTAACTAGTGAAACTGTGATAGGAGGAATTATGGCCTTCCCATTTTGTATTCTGGAAGAGGGGAGAAGCATGTGGTAACTCTGAATATGGAAGGGCGGAGAACACTAAAGAGTTTCTTCCTTTCTCTCCCCTGTGACTGCAAATTGCTCAGTGTGCAAAGAGCAGTGGTAGAAATACGCAGATTTAGAATGAGAGAAGAGGTATGGCAGTTGACTTGTACACTTGATTGTTTGTGAAATATGATTTTAAGTAAAAATGTGATACAGTGCCTGCATAGATGTTATTGCTTCTTGTAAATGAGTGTTGGTCTCAATCTGGGCTCAAGGTATAGAAAGAACTATAGGGGTCGTTTGGAAGTTGGAATTTCATATGATATATTTAACTAATATACTTTTTTTTTGTCTTAAACCAAAACAAAATACTTGTATTTAAATTGTGGATGAGACCACCAGAATCATTCGTTATAAATATTGTCAATCTCAGCTTTTAGCCGAGATTGTGTAAGAGGTATTCTTAACTCACTTTTTCTTCGGGTTAATTGCATGGTTGGTCACTGAGATTACAAAAAACGTTCAAGTTTGGTCACTCGAAATATTTAAATCCATTGATGGTACTTCAGTTTACTGAAACCGTTCAAGTTTGGTTACTCTCTGTCCAACTTTAACTTTTGCTGATGTGGCAGTCAACTCTCAAAGTTGACAGTTAATTTAGTGATGTGGCATTTAAAAAATAATAAATAAAATAAAATTTAATCTATTTTAAATTACCAGTTCATTTTTACCATAAAATAAATAAATAAAATAAAAAATTTTAATAATTAATCTATTTTAATCGCCAGATCCGCGACAGATACTTGACCAGATCCGGTGAAAGTTCCAGTGGGTGGTCCCGTTGGCGACGGCTTGGTTGATCGTCCAGCCGAGGAACACTCCGTCGACGAACTCGGTTATCTGGATCGACATCAGCGGCCTTGTGAATCCGTGGTAGTTCTTCGGCGGGAAGCTCGATTCGAGGGAATTGGTCCTGGCGGGGCTTGAATCGGAAGCCAAAGTGTCCGGATATCACGCGGACAACATCGCCCCCAGCGATAATTAGAGGGTTCGTGTTGATTCGGAGCTACGATCCGCTCGAATTGATGAGGTTGGAGTTCCCGACGGATAAGGAATTGTTGTTCGTGCTGGTGAGCCCCGAATTCGAGGCGCCGACGAAGAAGATGTGGGCGGCGCTGCCGCTGGAGATCGCGATGCCGCACCATGTGTGGAATTGCAGCCAGGCGGAAGCGCTGATGGCGTTGATTTTGGGAGGGGATCTGGCCGGGCTAGGAAAAGCTCTGTCGTCGGACAAGATCGTGGAGCCGAAGAGGGCTCCCTTGATTCCGGGGATGGAATCTGTGAAGAAGGCGGCTTTGGAGGCTGGGGCGTTCGGTTGTACGATCAGCGGGGCAGGGCCGACAGCGGTGGCGATGGTGGAAGGGGAAGAAAGAGGGGAAGAGGTCGGGAAGAGGATGGTGGAGGCTTTTCGGAGAGAAGGGAACTTGGAATCGGTTTCTATGGTGAAGCGGCTGGATCGAATTGGTGCAAGGCTTGTGAGTAGCGTTGCTCCGACGAGGAGGAAGTGCCCTTTCAATTTGATAATTATAATAATTTTTATTTTATTTTATTTATTTATTTTATGGTAAAAATGAGTTGGACATTAAAATAGATTAAATTTTATTTTATTTATTATTTTTTAAATGCCACGTCACTAAGTTAACGGTCAACTTTGAGAGTTGACTGCCACATCAGCAAAAGTTAACGGAGTTGGACGGAGAGTGACCAAACTTGAACGGTTTCAGTAAACTGAAGTACCATCAATGGATTTAAATATTTCGAGTGACCATACTTGAACGTTTTTTGTAATCTCAGTGACCAACCATGCAATTAACCCCTTTTTCTTCCTTATATTTTGAGTGACCACCAAAATCATTCAATCTCTAAACAATGAATTTTGTAAATTCATGCATTAAAACAATACATCTAATTACAACAATACATTGATTAAATGCATTAATTTAAGGAATCCTAACGGCCAAACATGCCCATAGTTTTGTTATTTCGAGTTGGAGCGCTTTACATTTGGCCGGGATCTCGTCTAGTTCTGTCCATTCTTCTGACTACTTTCAATAATCAATTCAATAAATCTAAAAACAAAAGGAGTTTTAAGTCGATTGTAACTATAGGTGTCAATCAGGCGGGTTCGGGTTGGGTTCAATTGGATTTCGGGTTTATCGGGTTTTGGGTCAATCGGGTTGCGAGTTTGATTCGGGTCCAATTGTAAACATTTTACCCCTCATTTCTTGATAGTTTGGCTTTACATTTCATCGTCCCTCGACATATTTCACGCTAGATTGTGCTTGTTTTGATACATTTCTGGTCGTAGCACGTGCAGAAGGGTCGAGGACGGGTTTCGGGACAATTGGAGACGAAAAGCGCAAAAAACCGAAGAAAAGTCCAAATTCCAGGAACCAGGAACTAGCCGCAGTTCATGGTCCATGGGACTGTGAACTGGAACCACAAACCGTGAACAACAAATCGTCTAGAGAGGTTTCTGAGGTTACTGACGCCAAGGCAGTTCACAGTCGCTAAGACCGTGAACTGGAACAACAAACCGTGAACCCCAGAAGTGAAGCAGTGCATTTTGATACATCTCACTGAGTTCACAGACGCGTTCTGACGTTAACGGTCGTGAATCGGGACCGTGAACTGAGCACGACTGAGTATAAATAGAGAGCTGAAAGGAGGAAGAAGGGGGGCTTTTGGTAGGTTTTTAGTGTGTAGAATAAAGGAGGGTTTCTAGTGAGAGATTAGGGTTTCCTCTTCCTATTATATAGAGAGAGCCATTCAAAGGAGGAAGAAGGAGATTGGGCTTGCCCTAAACTAGAGGAGTGAAGATTCTTACCTCTCAAGGAGATTCAAGCAAGGAGGAAGGAAGATTGTCATCTCTTCATGGTTCTTTCTCTCCTCTTTCTTGTTTTCCTTTGCCTAGCTATGGAATAACCTACCTATTCACTTGGGTGTATTGAACCCTAGCTTAAAACATGTGAATGCTTGTATGTGTTGAATGATTTGTGTGTGGTTGTGTTTAATGTGAATGTGGAGGTATTATTCATGAATGATTGTGTTGTGTTGTGTGAAAGCCTATAATCTAATTGCCATTCTAACCTAGTTAGAGAGAAAACCCCCTTTCCTTTCTTTGAAAGAGGCTTGAATGCTGGGGTTTCTTGGGAAATTCATTGTCTTCTAGTTGGATTAATGCAGCGCAAACCTCCTATTTGTATTAGCACCTAGGATTTGGTTGTGGGTGGCCATCTGAACTCCGATTCGAGGGTGAAGACTAACCAATCCTTAGTCGATAGGTTGAGAGAGTCGCATTAGTGGCTTGGATCGTATCCCCTTTCCTCGACCTAGAGACTAAGAGGGTAGCTTTGGCTACTTGTTAGACTTCCCTGCGGTTTACAACCCCCTTACCACACATGACCATTCGATCCAACAAGTCGTAATTGTTAGCTAGAGGGAGCAACACCCGGGTGAACTCTTCTCTCATTGGGACAACCTCGATTTAATTTATTTGCTTGTTTTCATTTGTAGTTTTCTTAGTTTTAAACCTAAAAATGTTTTCTAGATAACAACCTAAGAGATTGAAGTAGGGGTACATGGACCAGCCCGGGTTTGACAATTAAAACATACTTGCCCTATGATGCACCCGGCTAGAGCTTAAAAACTTGGGCTCTAGTCAGGATTAATTCGCGGTGTATCCATGGCGAGTCAGTGTTAGTCAGGTTACGGGTTCATCGAGTTACAGGTCAGTCAGGTTGCGGGTTGATCGGGTTACGGGTCTGGCGAGTTGGCGGCGGGTCGGACTGCGGGTTGTTTGGGTTAGCGCATTGTGTTTCTTACTCTTTCCTCGTTCCAACTTACACTTTATTTATTACACTAATTTCCATTATTTTTCGCAATTTGTTAGACAATTTGTTTGTACCTCATATTCATATATGTACTTGTAAAATGTTTTTTTTGGTAAAAGTACTTATAAAAGTTAAATAAAACTTGTCAAAGTGAAACATTAATTTTGTATTATTTTAGATGATTGAGTTATTGCAATCGTATTACTTAACATAACAAGTTTAACCCTCATTTTGAAATTAAAATCGACTCGAAAACAACTTAAATGTGTCAAAGTTTTACTCAGTGTTGTATAATGATAATGTATAGCTGAAGTTGCAATAAATGTAGAAGCATATAAAACAAGTAGACATATTAAATGAATTTTTCTAAAACAAATGATTTTTGTAACTAATGGTTAATTTAGTTACTTAACCATAAACAATTACATACATATATATTAACCTTCAAATTATATAACTTCATACCTAAATATAGTCTAACTAATTAGTTCATATAGTAAGATAAGTGTGTTGTTTATCAGAAGTTCCTAAATTAGCTCATATGATGGGTGTTAGATCATGTGTACTATAACATAAGCGATTGGTTATTATGATAAGATGATTCATGATCATTCTCCTAGACAATGTCTTAGCTACTAAATGCTAAACCCTTAACCAATATAGTCAAAATCGCGCTTTAAAATTTAAATATTACGGTTTTACGCTTTCGATTACCAAAACTCGTTCGTTTCCATATACAAATTTAGTGTATAAAATCGAACTAAACTGTGCTTTAAAACTTAAAAGTTCACTTTTACGCTTTTAGTTCACCAAAATGATTTACGCTTTTACGCTTTTAGTTCACTAAATGCGTATTCTTTTCGTGAAATTAATTATAAAAGTATATTTTAAATGTAAATCACCAACATTATGATACATTTGAGATTAAAAGATACATACCAGGTACTTGGATGCATTCTTAGTTTCAATAGAGTAATCTAATTCACCGGCTAAGCTCTTCTCCAATTCATTAGCATAGAGGGGAAAGTGACTTATTGTTAAGATTTATATTTATGAACTTATTATTAAGAGGCTACAAGTTGATCTACTTTAGGCATGAATTGCAGGTATTTATTCACTTATCTAAATTCTGGGCACTCATATTTTACATAGTATATATCGTACATAACAGATTTTTAGTTATTTTACAGTATGCATAAAAAACTTATGGTTTTATGCTTTACGAGCTTATCCCTTTTCCCTTTCTCTTAACTCATGATATGTTCCTGACTCGTTCTTACTACAACATCCCGATCGACGACCAAGTATAACCGGCAACCGGGTGTAGCATAGGGCAAGCAAGCAATAAGAATTTATTATACCACGGGGATCTAGGCTTACCCTAGTTCAGGTTTAGGGTTCGTTAGCTAGCCAACCTAGGGTAGTGATTAGAAAAACTAAGCTAACTAACCTAGACTAACC